CACACACACACACACACACACACACACACACACACACACACACACACACACACACACACACACACACACGCTGTACGGGCTGTGGCCAACTCGTAGATTGTGGCCGTTGATGCCGCATTCGTTGATGTTTTCTGGTCGTACTGTCGGAGTAGAGCCATTCCAGGACACAACGTTAGTTGATTATTCGATGTCGCAGATGTCGAGCTTGTCGCCGTCATGGGAGCCGATGGCGCAGCCGGTGCTGGCGTTGGTGGCGCGGCCCGGCCATCACCTGCGATGCCGATCGAAGCTGATGCAGCAGCCGCAGCGGCCGCCGCGCTCTGCTCCTGTGGCGTCTGGCTTGGTGATGGTTGCGTAGGCCTCGCTGCCGATGACGCCGTCGATGCTGCCTTCAGGTGATTTTCAGGAGGGGAAAAAACACACACAGACACAATTAATCGTCGATTCCCCAGAAAATATGGGAAAATATTTGAAAATATAGGAAGTGGGGGGGAAGACAGAAACCCCGAAAATATGGGAAAATATGGGGAATCCTTTTATTTGTGTGTATTTATTTGTGTGTCCTAGGGCCCCTTTAGATATGTCCTTCCAAAATGCAGCCCATCCCATCCCGGGTGATACCCTCGGCGCCCGGAGTCCTGACAGGCTTCGGGTCTTTCCTTCTCTTCCGTCGCGACGTTCGACGCATAGCCGTGGGCGTGTAGGATGTGGAGGATCGTGGCGGCAAGCACGCCAATGCCGATGCATATGCTAACCATGCGCATCGTCAGCAGCCCCTGGAAATGCCGCCAATATCCTGCGCCATCGGGGGGCGTCATAGGCGTAGGTTGGCCGTCGACGCGATTGATGCACATTATCAGTACTGACGCGAGCGTGGCGGCACGTGGCTGCTGGGTTCCTTCATAGTGCTTGCAGGCCCCAAAGAAGGATAGCAACACCTCGACATCCATCGCATTGGCGAGGGCGTTCGCGACCATGGCCCAGGTCGGGATCCACGCGGGGTTCAGGGCGCTGTTCGGGTGCGCGGTCTCCGTGATCATGGAGGCGACGATCCTCAACCGCTCGTCCGAGGAGTGGCCCACGTCCGACTCGATGTGCGTGACGGGGCCCTTGCGCTACCGCTGTAGGCCTCGCCGGGAAGCTCCCCGCCGAGCACGTCGATGCCCTTCGGCGTCTTGTGGGGGTTGTTGGCCCCGGCGAGCAGCTGGCGGAACCGCGCTTTGATCTCCGCCCCGTCGAGCGTCGCGTGGCCCTCGGCCGCGAGGGGCGACTTCGCCGACCTCTTGGTCGCGCCCGAATGCCAGACCACGGGCAAGCAGACATCGTAGCGGCCGCCCACGACGTCACGTGGTCGGTGGGCAAGGCCCATCGCCATGCCCCACTTGTTCTTGACACCGTCCACGTTAGCGAAAGCAGCGTCGCTGAAGCAGACCGTCGCGCAGGACTTCAGGTTCGCCATGTTGCGCCTGATCGCGATGGCAAAACTGCCTGTTGAGTGCGCGTGGGCGACGGTCTTGTCGAGCGTCTTGGCGTCGGCCACGGTGGCGACGCTGGTGCGGCGAGCGGCGAAGCTCGCCGCGCAGGCGATGTTCATTCGGGTCTGAACTGCAAGCCGCAGCAGCTGCCCGAGCGCGTGTATGTAGCTCGACACCTCAGCTGGCGTGAGGCGGTCTTCGGGTGACCGCTTCTTCAAGTCGATCTCGACATAGTCCACCTGCGCGGCCGCCGTCGTCTGAGTCACCCTGTACTCGTCCGCTGTCTTGTCGATCGAGCGGCCGCAGTATTTGATGATGCTCTTGACCTTCTTGAGGTGGGGCTTCTTCTCCAGAGATGCGATCGCGGCCTTTCATGATCTCGAGCCACTGCGCTGAGTAATCTTGAGGTCATCCACGTGCGAGCGAATCACGGCAGCGAGCCCCTTCTCGTCGTAGTAGTAGTAGTAGTAGTAGTAGTAGTAGTAGTAGTAGTAGTAGTAGTAGTAGTAGTAGTAGTAGTAGTAGTAGTAGTAGTAGTAGTAGTAGTAGTAGTAGTAGTAGTAGTAGTAGTAGTAGTAGTAGTAGTAATAGTAGTAGTAGTAGTAGTAGTAGTAGTAGTAGTAGTAGTAGTAGTAGTAGTAGTAGTAGTAGTAGTAGTAGTAGTAGTAGTAGTAGTAGTAGTAGTAGTAGTAGTAGTAGTAGTAGTAGTAGTAGTAGTAGTAGTAGTAGTAGTAGTAGTAGTGTAGTGGTAGTGGTAGTAGTAGTAGTGGTAGTGGTAGGTAGTAGTAGTAGTAGTAGTAGTAGTAGTAGTAGTAGTAGTAGTAGTAGTAGTAGTAGTAGTAGTAGTAGTAGTAGTAGTAGTAGTAGTAGTAGTACTAGTGGTAGAGGCTCTCATCGAGCCGGCTCTCCCTTAAGCCGCGCTCGCGGAACGCCTTCTGCGCGTAGAGCTACTGCTGACGTCCTGCGTCTCCCGTGCCGTATGGCGCCCGAGGCTGTCG